ACATGATGGGGTTGACACGAGAGAGAGGGGTGCCACCAGGCGTGAGGAGGCGAGGAGCCAGGAGGAGGCGCCCGCTGTCGGGCGACACGAGCGCTGCGCCGCCCCCAGGCGGCCCCGCCAGGGCTGTGATCGCACACGGTCACCGCCAGGTCCCAAGGCTGGCACTCACCACGCCGTCCGGGTCTGATGGCGCGGATTGAAGGGTGTGGATAGGGGGGGCGGGTATTGCAGGACGGTGAGGGACGCGCGTCAGTGTTAGGGCGCCCGCGGCTTGAATGCCTCAGCCCTGCAGCCGCCGCGGCAGCTGCTGGTCCACTCATGCGCATCGCTCCGACCTTACCCCCGCTTGCGCGGCCCCAAGGGCGCCGGGCCCCACCAGTCCCCGCCGCGCGCAGCACCACCGACCACGCCCCGCGCCAGTCGCGCACACCTGCGCCTGCGGCCCCGCCGTGAACCGTCCCCTATCGCGCCCCCGCTCACAGCGTGCGAAGAATGCTGTCCGGTCCATCAGGTCACCGCTGTACTGCCCGATGAGGGTGCCGCGCGGGATCACGGCCGCAGCAAACTGCAGGGTGCGGCGCAAGCGGCGCATCGCGGCGCGGGGCGGTGCGGGGCGGCTTGAGAGGCGAACGGTGGGCCGCTGTGCCCAAACCGCACGAAGCCGGGGCCGGCGGGCGCGCCGTTGCGGGGGGGACACAGCTCAGGGGGCGTGCTCACCGCGCCGTTGCCGAGGCGGGGGTCGCCGGCCGGCCGCACCACCACAGCTCCAGGCTGCAGCGGGGGGCCGTGGGAGGGCACCCCCAGGGTCACATACAGCCGGCCCCTGCAGGGCGGCGGGCAGGTGACGAGGGGAGGGGCCAAGTACGCACTCATGGGGCGCCACGCGGGCATGGCAGGTCGACTCGATGCGCTGGCTGGTTGGCGCAGGCGCAGCACGCCGGCATCTTCGCCATGTATTGGCTCAACGGCATCCTCCACTGCAACCTGCCAGGATCCCTTGACCATGAGAGCTGCAAGGCTGATGATGACGTTGTGTTGCCAGACCGCAACCACCGCAAGCACAGGTGCTCCCCCACAACCCCACCACAAGCACACGCATGCGTGCGTGCATGCATGTCCGCCATCCACCCATGCGTACCCCCACACACACACGCACATGCACGTGCCCAGCACCTGGCGTGTGCTCACTCATGCATGCGCACAAAAGGCGACCACTAGTAGCCACCGCCTCACCTGTGCAGCTCGACGTGAAATCTGTCACCCAGCACCGCCTTGGCCACCGCCGCGCACGCCGCCGCACCGCCCAGCAACACGCCTGCGGCCGCTGCAAGCTCTCCCAGGGCGTCGCTCAGCGGTGGCAGCGCCGGCTGGGTGGAGAGCAGGTGGTATGCGCCGGCCCCGGCGGCGCCAAGGGCGCACGACAGCGCGGCGGCCTGGGGCCGCGACAGTCTTGCGGGGCTATCGCTGGCAACCGCGCTGCTGCTTGTGCTGGGGTTCATGCTGTCGCTGCCGCTGCCGCTGATGCTGATGCTGCTGCTGTGGGTGGTGGTGGTTGTGGTTGTGGTGGTGGTGGTGCCGGCGGCGGTCTCCACCCCATGCGGCAAGGCTGGGACAACAGCGCGGCCCCGTTTGGCGCCGCCTCCGCTGCGACTGCAGCCATTGGGGCACGCGCCTCTTGCAAGGCGGGAACGCGCACTTGAAGTTTTTTTTAATGCAGAAAAGGTGCAAGGGGCTGGAACGCCCTGCATCATCGCGGCCATTGGGGCCGCGCCTGAGCACCAAGTGTCAGAACAGATATTCATCCACAAAAAACCATAGAGATGGCCAGTTGAGGGTGTCAAGTAGTGTCAAGTAGTGTCAAGCTGGCTTCTTCGCATCAGGCGACATCAATGGTGCGAGTGAGGCGGATGCATAGCACACCACACTGTCAGTGCCCGTTTGGATCCGGGCGCGCCTTACAACGGTTTATTGGCAGAGTGCCTTGCAGTGTGATCCTGCCAGGTGAAGCACGCTGCACGCAGCAGCGAACCGTGTATGGTATCACGTACAGTACAGTACCGTACAAGATTGGTGTTGTACCATCATCTTAGGAGCATAGGCCCGGCACGAGGGCGTTAGATGATGAGATGCTAATAGTTGCTTGAATCTTGTGCACAACAATCTTCCAGGCAATCGCACCGGCTCTGCATCGGCGCTTGTCAAGCGAGTCAAAACCGCTGCTGTGTGAGTTGCCACGACGCTAGGGGTGCTCCTGGGCCGCATATGGCGCCGCGCGCCGGTGGCAGCGTATGCATCTACGAACACGTATCGCATCCGACATGTCAACGAGGCCCGGCAGGCTGGTACGTGCGCTGGGTTGGTGCCCACACCTGGGCCCCGCTCACGCCTGACAGGGCAAACCGCGGTCATGATCGGCCCACATTTTGTTGTTACATATGATGTTCATTCCTCACCGGTCTTAGAGGTCATACATGCGTGATTTCGCGGGGTCGCCATGGCTGCACCGTCCGCGCGGCCCCGCGCTCGGCCCAGGATTTTTCTGGCTATTCTACGAGGTACCTAAAAATCATAGGATCACACGCCGCATCTTTTGGCGCAGGTCGCGGGGCATTCCGCGAGAATCGATTCCCGGAGGCCAGAAGAGCCCCCTCTAGCGGAAAGTCGGTGAGTCATGCCCCAAGGGTCTGGTCGACGAAGCAAAGTCTCAACTGGCAACGAATACCCACGTAATTCTTGAGATTGGAGATTTCTGTGGAACACGCATTTCAGGCACGGGGCGCGGTCAACATGACATGCGCCTTGCAGCCAAACTTCGGAATACCGTTCGCGTTTTGCTTCACTGAAAAATATATCTGTAATATCTGTCACAAGTGATACCGGGACTTTGCACAGTCAAGCAGACCCCGACATAAATCTAGAATAACTTGTGCTGCTGTACTCGCGAAAGCTGGATTTGGAGGCAAACAATACTGGAGACACCAGAACGCTGTGAGACAGGCCACCGGTGAAGCGGCCTTGCTGCTGAAACCTCTCGCCGCTTTCTCACAGAGCTCCAGCTGCAAGCACTGCCCTTTGAGCTCCTCGGACTCCTTGCGCATGTTACGCTCATGTGCGCCCTCTCTGACTGGGTGCCGACCTGCCCAGGAAACAGTCAGGGCGTTTGCCATGTCATCCACACTGGCGGTCAGCCCTCGCCCCCCGGGCCCTTTCGGAACGCTCCACACCTCCCCAGCGCCCAGCATTGACGCTGCGGCGCTGAGCTCCCTGTGCTCTGGGAGCCTTGACGAGTTCCTGCTGACATCACCGCGTTTTCAGCTGCAGCGAGCAGGGTGCTCGCCCAGGGCGACTGCGCCGTCGGCCCAGGCGCAAGCGCAGGTGCCGTGCCCAAACGCCACTGCAACAAGCCCTGCTACTGATGGCCCAGCAGAGGAGGAGTGCCAGCAGTCCCTGCCGGCGCATTGCGAGGAAGCCTGCGTGGCAGCATCACGTGCAGCCAAGCTCAGGGCTGTACAAGAACAGGTTGAGAGGAGCTGGCAGTACAAGGTGCGACATGAGGGCGTACCTGTGCCCGAGGCGGGAGTGCCTTTGGTTTGCGACTCTGTGCCTTCCCAAGTCGTTGGGAGGCACCAGTGGTGGACGGTGCATCCTGGTCGCCGCTTTTGACCATGCCCAATCTTTGCTGGCGCACATGATGCTAGCGCACGACCATGCACACATCACCGACACTCCGTTGCCTGCTCGCAGGCTACTGGCTCTGTGGCTGGCGCCGCCGTCCTGGCCAACCTGCGAGCCAAGCGCGTGAAGCATGGTGGCCCACAGGGTATGCTGCAGGCCATGGCAGACTGCATTCAGGTGGGTGCGCCAGCGGCCCCTGACCACTCCCGCCAATTGGGGTGGCCACCTGAGCACCACAACACGCCTGCTCTTTGCTGGGAGGCTACATCCTTGCAAACCGACCTTGCAACCCCACGGCCCTTGATGGAAGCCTGACGTTTAATGGTCAAGCCTGTGCCGCTCCTCGCCAGTC